TAGGAAATGTAGATGATGATAATGATGATAAGTGTAGTTTACATAAAAAAGAAATACATTGTTTTATTCCATAAACAGAAGTCCAGGTCATGCTCCATGTGATTCTTCTGGTATTAGATTAGATAAAGTTCACATAAAGTGTTCAGCACCATGTCTAATATTTAATAAGAATTCAGTACAGGTTAGCTGTTATTGTGGTTACTATTGATTTAATAATTGTATATTCAAGTGATTTTAGAAGGAAAGAGAAGAGAAGGTAAAGTGAGACCAATCCATTGTTACAGAATAAAATGTTGGGATAAACTTTAACCCAGCGATTGAATATTATACAGCAAAAGACCTAAACATCACTGTGATCATTTTTTTGCATCAAAATATCTTTATGTGAAATTAAGAGGGTGTCAATAATCACATTTTTAAAAGGTATAGCTGGAGAAAAAAATCGATTCATTCATGAAATGTAACCCTGTTTCAATTTGTAACAACAAATTGCCGCATGACCTTAGGAAACTGTCCAAACATTTCAGTCTTTTATTCTCTGTTAGTCAAGGATAATGATAGCCAACTGAATAAATTTATTGGGTGGCCAGAAGAATTACTTTCAGAAAAGTACATTATGGACATCTTTGTGTTTTCTCACTTGAATAGGAGCTCTCCTTGGCTCAGCGTGCTAAGCACGCTGCATGGAGCTCTCAAACCCTCAGAACAAGGATTGTGAAATGCTTTTTAAAAAAAATTGATTTCCCATCAAAGCTCTAGACCTATTCGCTTAGTATGATGCTTATACCAAGTTTCAACAGATGGAGCATACTCTACCACAGAAAACAAGAATGACTCAGAATAAAGTGATGTGATGATGGGGTAAGATCTTATTTCATTAGATTGTGTATGCCACTCAAGCATTTAATATCATAATCGATCTTGTAAGTATATATAGGCTTCCCTGCTGGCTCAGACAGTAAAGCATCTGTCTGCAATACAGGAGACCTGGGTTCAATCCCTGGGTCATGAAGATTCCCTGGAGAAGGAAATGGCAACCCACTCCAGTACTCTTGCCTGGAAAATTCCAGGGACAGAGGAGCTTGGTAGACTAGAGCCCATGGGGTTGCAAAGAGTCGGACACGACTGAGCGACTTTTCTTCTTTAAAGTGTAAGATAAGAACTGGTTCACTGGATGTGAGGTTTGTTGTTGCTGTTCAGTCACTTAGTCATGTCTGACTCTTTATGACCCCGTGAACTTAAGGCTTCCCTGTCCTTCCCTGTCCTTCACTGTCTCCTGGAGTTTGCTCAGACTCATGTCCATTGAGTCAGTGAGGTTTGAACTCATTAATTTTAGGGGCTCTGGCCAAAGCCAGTTAATTTCTGTTGTGTGAAGCAAGCTTGTATGCTGACATTTCATGCCATTTCCACAGATGACCATGGGAGAACATTCATAGTTATTTAATACATGGTCGTGTAGCAAGAAAGTCTGCCTATATTGATTATATGAACCCTGAGTCCAACATCCTAGATTATCATTACATTAAAAGAAACATTGAAGTTCAATTCAATGCATATTTATACACAACACTGAACTAAGTTTGGGGAGATTATAAAAAGGAGTAAGACTGAATCATTACTGTTTTCAACAAGTTTACTCTATAATGTAGGACAGGCAACCATCTGAGTACATACTTCAGTCTCTGATGTTCAGTTCAGTTCAGTCACTCAGTTGTGTCCGAATCTTTGCAACTCCATGAACTGCAGCACACCAGGCCTCCCTGTCCATCACCAACTGCCGGAGTTTACCCAAACTCATGTCCATTGAGTTGGTGATGCCATCCAACCATCTCATCCTCTGTCGNTGGAACCAGTATGTTGTTCCATCAGTCTGTGATGAGTGAAAGCCAAACTAAAACATTGAAGTGTATTCTACCCAGAAATATAATCTGTTTATTATGCCCCAGAGTCAGGTTTCCTGAGACCCTTGAGAAATTGGCAGACAGTAGTTTCCTGGGGCTGGGAAAAGGGGCATGGAAAATTACTATTCAGTGGGTATAGTGTTTCAGTTATGCAGGATGAAAAAGTTCTAGAGATCTGCTCAGCTTACAGTCAACATACCATCCAGTATATTTTAAAATTTACTGAGGACAGATCTAATGTGTTTCCTACCATTAATAAAAAAAAGAAAAAAGAAACTGGCAGATGACCATGGCACAGCCTTTCTAGTTGAGCTATCACAGAGATGGGGAAAGAGGCTACCGTGTCCACGTTTTTAAAGGAAATGACTTGATTATCATAAACCTGAGGGCTTAGAGGCAATACCTGATGAGAACCATTTCTCATGCAATCAGTAAACTGCTTAGCAGAATAGCATAAGAGATAAAGCAGCAACTGCATTTGACTCTTTGAATAGCCATTTTTTCCACATCAATTTCATTTCCTTCCCTGGTTACGTGACAGATTACATCAACAATGAGATGTGCCGGATAAAATCAATTTTGAATGAGGGAAGATTTTTGGTCCTAGCCTAAACAATATTGTTATCACCAAGCCACGGAAGTGTGACCTTAATCATGCTATTGTTACATGAGTGAACCAGTAAATAGAGAGCTGCAATCGCATCAAAGTGAGCTGAAGCAGTGGATTACATATCAAGTTCCAACCCTTGAGGATCAGTTGTACCAGAGGACCTATAACTTATTGATGAGCTATACAAATGACTTATAAATACCTTCATCCAAAATGCAGAAATTACTAAATCAAGTGCAGCTGCTGATACCTTATCTCAGGAAACTCAAGATGATACAACTCAATGTATTGTTTATATGTATTTTTTAATCATTCTAAAAATAGAATAGCATATAAAAAACTCTTTAAATTTTTGTTTGCTTTTATATTTTTTCTTTTACATTTTATTGAAGTATAGTTAATTTACAATGTTGTATTAGTTTCAGATGTACAACAAAGTAATTCAGTTTAAATATATATATATATATATTCTTTTTCAGATTCTTTTCCCTTATAAAGTTATTACTAGAATAGCATTAATTGACGTAACTATAAACTGGTATATTTTAGCACAAATAAAATTTGATGAAAGAATAATTAAGAAAACAAGCACTGATAGAATCCATCAATTTATGTTAGAAAAACAATATTATATATGAATTACACTGATAGCAAGTTTTTTAAATGGAGCAGAAGAGCAGGACCAGAGAGTTAAGCTTACCATTCTATGTATAAGCCTCATCATTCTTAAGTATTTGTTCAAATTTTATCAATATACTTTAAAAGGAATATTTTTGAAAAACAAGACAGTATGCAGGGAACAAAACATTACATATACATATGATAATATAAGATATATGTTAACATATATAATATATGCATTAAAAGTATATAATATTAACATATATATTAAAATTATGTAATATATAAAATATATGGTATAGCATACAGTATATAAAAGGGCCACTGCTGATCTATGTGTGTGTGTGTGTGTGTGTGTGTGTGCTCAGTCATGTCCAACTCTTTGCTACCCCATGGGGTTCCCAGTGGTAAAGAACTTGCCTTCCAAAGGAGCAGACTCAGAGACACAGCTTCACTCCCTGGGTTGGAAAGATCCCCTGGAGAAGAGCATGGCAGCCCACTCCAGTATTCTTTCCTGGAGAATCCCCATGGACAGAGGAGCCTGGTGAGCGACAGTCTGTGAGGTCACAAAGAGTCAGATACAACTGAAGCAACTTAGCACATATGCACGGACTATAGACCATCAGGCTCTTCTGTCCACGGGATCTCCCAGGCAAGAATACTGGAGTGGGTTGCCATTTCCTCCTCCAGGGGATCTTCCTGACACAAAATCGAACCCACGTCTCCTGCTGCTCTGTTGCATAGACAGCCAGATTCTTTACCACTGTGCCACCTGGAAACTGGGAAGCCCACATATTATATGGTTATAATATGTTTTTTAAAAGAGGAATTGGACCAGTGTAATCTAGAAAGCAAAAGTCTGAATAGCCCTATAATTACCATCTTGTGGTTCCCTCAACTTGTTCTCAGAATGAGTTAAGATTCACCTCTCCCCAGAGATGACTAAACCAGAAGAAATATTCTGTATTACATTTAGCAACTTCATCTGGCAGAAAAGGTCGTCCTTCTTGATTATCAGGATGAAAAATTGTTGGCTCAAGGGAGCCCTCAAGATTTCTTTCTTAGAGCTCTTCACTATAGAATTAACTTCCAGTAGCTCTGGATGATGTAAATATCCATGGGATCTCATCCCTCAAAAAGCTTTTGTCCTTTTATCCTAGACTTCAGTTCATTTACTCTTTCAAGCTTCACAACCCAACTTATCCAAGAGTGGGCCATTGGATATTCCATACCAGGAGAAGTACGTGGCATTTCTCTTCCAACTATCAGTTTTACCCAGAGATCTATCCCATGTACTCAGAAATTTTAAACAGAAACTATAATTATGTATCAACACCTTGGTAGATTATGGAGTAGAATGCAAAGAATCCAAGGAAACTTTCTTCCTTGAAATGAATTTGTTACAATACTGCTTCTGTTGTTTATGTTCTGGTGTTTTGGCCATGAGGCATGTGGGGATATTAGGTCCCCAACCAGGGATCAAACCCTCGCCCCTTGAATTGGAAGACAAAGTCTTAACCACTGGACTGCCAGGGAAATCCCAAGATGAATATTTTCCATTTCCGCCTACCCCAACAGTCCCAGCTTGATTTCTCTGAGGCAGAAGGTATGGGCACAAAGCTGTCTTTTCTGTGGCAAAGTTTAAAGGTAATGCCAGGTTTCTTAATATGTGATATCAAGCCTGTCACTACTTGAGTAGCCTAGAAACACAGGGATGTCATATTCTATTTCATGACCCTCTCCCTTCCCATGATTTTCTTGGCTAGCAATAAAATATCAGAGACTTTGAGGTATGTCAATGTAGAAAAGTTCTTAAATGTCTTTGCAGGTGATGGTAATATGTGCATTTCCTATCTCTTCTTTTCTAGGATGGGGACCTATAAATTACTTGAGATCTACACCCGGAATCAGTGAGTAAACGCTCCATAATGTTTGGGTCTTGGGTAGTTTTAGACAAGCAAAGCAAAAGTGTTACTCACTCAGTTGTGTCCGACTCTTTGCGACGCTATGGACTGTAGCCCACCAGGCTCCTCTGTCCATGGAATTCTCTAGGCAAAAATACTGAAGTGGGTTGCCATTCCGTTCTTCAGGGGATCTTCCCTACCCAGGGGCCGAACCCGGGTCTCCCACGTTGCAGACAGTTTCTTTACCATCTGAGCCACCGGGGAAGCCCCAAAGCCGCAATAACTGAAAACGCTGTAGTGTCACTTTTAAATACCTGTTCTGATGATCCATCACCAGAAAGCACAGCCTACGTGGCATTTTGAGTTTTATGAAGTCTTAGAGGGTAGGGGAGAAAAGCAAGCAAACCATGATCCTTGCCCTCAATAAATTTACAGAGGAAGTCATAGACTTTGAAGATAGATTCCAGTTATATCTAGCTTAATGAATAATTAATGTCCATCTTATTTGAAAAAGTTCACATTTTACCTATTTTTATTTTGTAACACTTCCCTGGAACATTGGACTATATTCCTTATTTTCCAGAAATGTCTTCCTCTAAGAATTCAGTAAAACCTTCTTCATTCAGATATTTTGATTACACAGTTTTTGACAGTTTGACCCAGACTAAGATGAAATTTACTTATGAATTGTCACCATGGAATGGGTTTGATACAAGAAACAGAGGGAACACCTGTAACCTATTTTAAAAGAGTAATTGTTTTCATGGCTTTGGCACATGCAGTGGTCTTTAAGCAAAAAGATTCAGCTGTAAAACAAGGATGCATGTCATTTAGTGGCTTTCTCCTTAGACAGGCGTTATTGACATATCAGAGTATTTAAAGTAATAAAAGTGTATTGCTTTCAATAAATCTGACTTCCATAGTTCAGGCTCACATCCCCTTTTTCTTCCCACCTCCCCAAACTCAGTATTCTAATTTACTGAAATGTACTGTGTGTTATATGTGGACATAAATGTTTGTTAATAGAAAAGGATCGATTCTTATTATCTTATTTTTTTTTTTTTTTTGAAACTGACAAATATACATTTTAATTTTTTGAATGCCTATCTGTAACCTGGATGACAGTCATGTATTTATTTTTACAAGAAAAATGATGTATCATTCCCTTTTATTTTCTCTGATTTTATGCCACAGGAATTTTTTTTTATTTAAAACAGTATTTTCACATAGCAAGAAAGACAAAGTCCCAGGATGATAGTGAAGATTTAAGGGGAGAAGAAAATAACCCCCAAATCAGATCATGCCCTCCTTGCGGCATGTTGAAAAGTCAGAGCAGTAACCAAATCACCATTCATTCATTCATACAACAAACACTTAGCCAAGGGCCGTGCTTATTGCTTCAAGGTATGTAGAGATTAATAAAACTGTCTTCTTGTCTACACTGTGCTGGCAGCCCATAAGTTGAAGCAGAGATGGAGACAGTTTTCCCATGTGATAAGTGATGTGTTATCCTTAGAAGCAGAGTGCTTGGGGAGCACCGAGATGATACCATTAAATTTGACTAAAAAGTTAGGGAAATATTCATAGCAGGTATAACACTGGAGCTCATTCTTTAAACATAAATTCAATGTCTACTAGTAGAGAAAAGGACATTTCAAATCAGTGTGAGTGAACATATGGAAATAGAGAATACGTGGATTGCTTAAGAAAAACAGCAGACGTGTTTGAGGTGGAGAGTTGAGGAGGTGGGGAACAATATATGGTCTATTAAATGGTATATTGCTAAGAAGATATGCCCTTCCTTAGAGGTTGAAAACACCAGCCGGAGCTCACAGATAGGTTTGAGAGCTGTCTATAGAAAGCTGAAATGTGGAAAAATGGGAATAGATAAAACTGTGGACAATTGAGAGAACTTTCAGGAACACAGGATAGAATCAGCTTCTCCTTGTTAGAAGAGAGAAGGGGAGATAAATAAACATTTGAAGGTGTATACAAAGAAATTCGAGGGAGTTTATGTCTGAGAGCTTCAGTCACCTTTCCGTTATGCTGTTGGATGAGTGTGGAATGCCGGTTAGAAAGGCACAAGTTTAAATCCCTGCTCCAGAGTCTGTGAGTGATGTAACATGGGCAGATCACGTAACCCACATACACTTCAGCACTGGCTTCACCTCACTGAGCTCTCGTCTATAAAATGAAGATAACAGTACACAGCTTATGTGGGTTGTTGCGATTATTGAAGACAAGCTGTGTACAACACATTCATACAAAGGTGCTCTATACATGAGAGCTGAGAGATGATTGTCATATGTGAATAGGAGCTTGTCTCCAGGGGGAGAGAAAAAACAGAATGAGGGATGAAGTTTAGAAAGGGACATGTGACAGTGTTTCTTTTAGTATTTATTTATTTTTGACTGTGCTGGGTCTTCATTGCTACACTTGGGCTTTCTCCAGTTACAGAGAGCAGGCGTTACTCCTTTGTGGTGTGTGGGCTACTCACTGTGGTGGCTTCTCTAGTTTGGCAGCAGAGGATCTGGGGTGTGTGGGCTTCAGTGGTTGGGATGCATGGACTCAGTAGTTGAGGTTCTCGGGCTCCAGGGTACAGACTCTGGAGTTGTGGCACATGGGCTTAGTTGTCCTGCAGCATGTGGGATCTTCCTGGACCAGGGTCCCCTCCACTGCAAGGTGGCTTCTCAACCACGGGACCACCAGGGAAGCCCTGTGAAAGTGGTTTTTAAGCAGCATTAAGAATCCTTTATGAAAGCATGATTTGCAAGCACAGTCATATTTATGTGTCCCAGAGCCGCCGATAGGGATGTTTCGATGGCCTGAGTCGAGGAAGGTCAAAGCAAGCATGTGTCATTGAGAGAACAATTGAGAATGAGTTCTGATCTGAGAAGCTTGGAGACTGGTATTCAAGCCCTGTACTCCAGCCTCTACCCTGAGTTGGCAGAAGACTATGTTTTCTCAGGGTCAGCTGCCTGTGATCCTAGGGCTCTTGTCATTGTCAGGGAAGAGGGCTGAGTTGCCAAGTGCTCAAGGTTGTCTACTCTCCTTATTTACCAGCTAAGCTCCAGACACAGCTGCGTGTTCGGAGACCCGCCAGACCCTTGCCCGGCTCTCCTACCCCACCCCCCTTGGCTCATAGTCCCTACCCCAGCCTCTCCTCCACTTGAGTTTTCATTCTTCCCTAGCACATGAGACAGTGAGAAACGTTTCTATCTCCTCTGGAATAGAAAACTGACATCTGAACCAAGTAAAAATGAGCCCATCTGCATGCTTCTTGTCCCTCAGGTCATCAGCACCGCTTCTAGACCTTAGAACAGGATTCACTGGGTACGCAGGCAGGACTGCACTTCCTCTCCTATACCTGGAAGTGGGTTATCTCACCAGCCACTAGGATGATGTCCGGTGTCCTCTTAAATGCTTAGTTAGCATTGCGGACCCCAAGAGAGAATTGCCAAGCTCTATCTTGATAGTTAACTTCCCTCAGAGAGAGATTTGAATGGCTGGAGAATGTCCTTCATATGCCAAATAGAAATAATAAAGAAACTGTAGGCTGTATCTTACCCATTATGGACTTCTATTTTAATTAATGGGAGATATACTCCTCTTTTGGGAATTTGGTTGATTCATTCAGTGAGTGAATATATTCAAGAAGGATATACTAATTCGAGGTGCTAGTATGTATAAAATAAATAATTAGTGGGAACCTGTTGTATAGCACAAGGAGCTTTGCTAGGTGCTCTGTGATGACCTAGAGGGATGGGATGGGTCGGGAGGGGGAAGGAGGTCCAAGACAGAGGGGATATATGTATGTGTGCTTGCACGCTAAGTAACTTCAGTTGTGTCTGGCTCTTTGTGACCCCATGGACTATAGCCCGCAAGGCTCCTCCGTCCATGGGATTTCCCAGGCAAGAATACTGGAGTGGGTTGCCATGTCCTCCTTCAGGGGATCTTTCCTACCCAGGGATCAAACCCACATCTCTTATGTCTCCTGCATTCTCAGACAGATTCTTTACCACTAGTGCCACCTGGGAAGTGCTATATACATATATCCTCAGGCTATATGTATACATATAGCTGATTCACTTCATTGTATGGCAGAAACTAACACAACATTGTAAAGCAAACTATATCCCAATTAAATATATGTGTGTGTGTGTGTGTGTGTGTGTGTATAACAGACTGGTTCCAAATCAGGAAAGGAGTATGTNCTGAAACTCCAATATTTTGGCCACCTGATGCGAACAACTGACTCATTGGAAAAGACCCAGATGCTGGGAAAGATTGAAGGCAGGAAGAGAAGGGGATGACAGAGAATAAGATGGTTGGGTGGCATCACTGATTCGACGGACATGAGTTTGAGCAAGCTCCAGGAGTTGGTGATGGACAGGGAAGCCTGGGGTGCTGCAGACCATGGGGTCGAAAAGAGTCGGGCACAACTGAGTGACTGAACTGAACTGAACTGATAGACATATAAGCACCTTACTTGAGTAATATTTGAAACATTAGGAAAACCCTGTCAAATTCAGACAAAACTCTACGTTTCTGTAAAAATACAACTGCCGAGACTCTTTAGGGGTGGGAGGCCCCAAAGCTCTTTCTTCTCACTCAGACTTGGTTCCCGGAGCCCACCCTCCCGTGACTGCCAAGAGGGAGTCACACAGAATTCACTTCCAAGCACTTTGCTTCCTATAAGTTCCTTTCAGTCAGTTGCAGTCACCTACGGATGTGTAGATGGTTCTAGATCACATAACATCCTCACTCCCCACTCATGGTCCTTCCCTATGGGGCAGGAGCCATGCTGAAGCATAGCCCATCTCTACCTCCTCGAGAGCAGGAAGCCCCATGCAATATTTCTGATTGGAATTCAGGCTGGGGGTTCTCCCACTTGACACAAACACACATTAGCCCTTTCTGGAATGTGCTTTAATCACCTGATGCCATGTCAACCAGACCAGTGTGCCTTCTACAACTGCCAATTATTCCTTCCTGGTTTGCATGCA